TTGACTTCAGTGAAATTAGTGTTAATGTAGGGATGGAAATGCAGCAAATCTAATTCCAGCATCTCCTTCCTGGAATAGTGAGCAAGAAAACAGAGAGGTAATCAGATAGCAACAAGTGCTGATCAGAAGGAGTTGGACAGGAAGCAAGAGAGCTCCAGGAGCTGCTGCCAGGAAATAAAGACACTTTTCGAGTCTCACATAGTCATGGAGAGCTCAGCAATACATGCACAGAGGCTGAAATGAAACACCAGGCTTTTTTGTTTGTTTTAGTTTGCCTATATACGCAATCTTTTGTTGTTCTGTTGAGTATTCTCAAACCCCTACTAGCATCAATGAGTATTCTCAAACCCCTTCTACCAGGATACCATCGATGGCTAGTAATATTTCCAGCAATGTTGTTACTGGCTTGGTATTATGGGGAAGGGAGCGATGGAGAGCTGTGGGACTGGTGGAAAGAGGTGGAATTAATGTGCTTGATAGAGTATTTAGGCAGCTCGTTTCATCTGGAAATAGATCTGGTTGTAATCTTTGGAGTACTGATGTCCAGTTCAACCTATATATTACTGTATGGCTTTGTGCTCCTCTGATAGAAAATGCAAAAATATATTTAGGGTGTTGCCTGCCATTTTGCTATGCCATTGCTCTTCAGCAGAACAGTTTGCGGCACTTGCAAAGGTGAATGTGGAGAGCATCTTCCTAGGACCATAGGTGTTCTCTCAAGTGCCATAAAAACTACCCAAATATACTGGGATTCAAATCCACATTGTGTAGGAGATGAAACCCTCTCGCTAAGCGCATTCACACTAATATCTTCCCCAAAGACCCTTCTCCACTGATGAGAAGTGGCTTTGGAGTGCCGGTGAGTGACACCAAAGCCACAGACCTGTGACTGAAACGTGGTTCCACCGATGTGTCAGGGCTGGTAGGGGTGGATATAGTCTGAATACATAAAGGGTTAATCGGTAATGCTGAATGCTAAATTAAGAGGCCAACTTTTTTCCTCCCCCCTCCTCCTGGAAGGATGCGGTACAGAGTAGCACACATGATTTCATAGAGTATGAAAGTGGGAAACTTGCTCGTTTTTGCAGTTGGGTTTCACTTGGCTATTGACTGTTTTACAAGACAACCACCGAGGAAGCTCTGAAGAAGCTGTCAGGCTCAGTGACAGCTCAGCATCTGCCACAGCTAAATCAATACTGCGATGAAGGACAGGTTCCCAAAGTGGATAATCAAAGCAGAGTAAAGTTAATTCACCTTGAAAGCCTGAAAATATTAGTGTGAAACTTTTTAGACAAAACCAGCGTTATTCCAGCAAAACACGAGAGGTGCTGAGATCCAGCCCTGAGCAGCAGTCTGCCCAAGCGTAGCCTTTAGTGGGAGTGGGGAGCAGGCTTCATGCCAGTCACGGGCATGGATGCTTTCATAAAATGGAAACCTGGTGCTAATAAATCAGGAAAAAAGGGGTTCACATTGGCCCTGATGGCTAGCAGTGCGCTAGGAACTCATGGTTTGCATTTTGTGGAAAATATTCCATTATAATATAAATTTGGGGTGTGTCTGAAGATGATGAATGTTCCATTTTTTCTTAGGCTGTTAAGACTTTTTTTTGCATCAAAATGGGATTTTCTTCTGTTGTTCAGGTTTCGAAGGTTTAAAATCAAAAGACTGGAGGAAAAATGTTTTGCTATGAATTATTTCAGCTTTGTAGAACCTGGAGGTGAATTGTTTCGACTTTGTGTGGAACTCTATTTTTTTTTTTCCCCTTGGTTTTAGTGCAAACACTTAAGGGAAGGCAAATTTAATTTCAGATAGACTGTCAACATCACATAGAAAATTTTGGATACAAAATTTTGCTCAGCTCTGTCCAGAGATGCGAAATTTGCAGGACTGAGAATTAGAGAGAAAGCGCTTTTGTGGATGACTTAGATGAGTAAGAAACATTATCGTTCAGTTCAGTGAAGCCACTTTTGTGGTCATTTTACAAAGCAGAATTATTCTGAAAATAATAGGATGCATATATCATCTCCAAATATGAGGGTTTTAGTATTAACAGTTAAGTACTTTATTTTGTTCCTAAAAATACCTTATAACTGCATACAAAAATCTATCCTCACACAGAGTTCAGGCTGATGAATTAAAATACAGAAAAAAGGAACTACTGAATAGAAGCAGCATTGCTTTACCTGCGCTCTGTCTCATTAATATTTTCAGGCAGGTATTGTGTAAGCATGCACTGTTATGCTAACAGGTGTGTTTACCACACCTTGCAAGGCTATGCGTGGCCTGTGTTTTGTAGCTGGAATCATTTGTCTAATTATCCCAAATCCATTCCTATTAATTGTGCTGAGATAAAATTGAATGTTTAATTAAATGAATAAGCAAAGTTATATTTGAAAGAAGTAGAAGGAATAAGCAAATTAGAAGACTGAAAGGAAAATTAGTAGTTGCAGAAATTCTGAGCCCATTTGTATTGTATGTTTGCCTTTACACTTACATGCAGGTGTAACTGCGTATGTACATGTATAAATATGTATATTTGTGAGTATCTAAAACACATCAACATGCAGATTTATACAGTACAATCTTTTACATTGGCATACACAGAAAAAAAGAACCTAGGAGCAGAGAGCTAGAAACATCTTCTAGTACAGTCCAATACTTTGAAGGTGTGTTTACAAATTTCCTATTACATTTTAACACGACAGGCAATTTAGGTGGTGTTCATCAGTGTGCAAGTGATGTTCTGGCATCCTGCCTCCAGCAACATCCTGGGTTCATTTTAGTGTGACAAGAACTTGGTGTCCCACTAAAAAATTCTCTTAAACATATTAAGGAAAAAAAAATCAACAACAGAAAAAAACCTCACAGCTCAAATCCAGCAATAAGCTGTCAAGTTGTTTCACATGGTAACACTGACAGCTGCCAACTTTGCTCAGAGAACTTTTTTCTGGAGATGATCCCTTTGGTTCCTGTGCTTCCATTCAATAGTGCTGGAGACCCTTTGCGTCCTGTGCTTGTTACTGGTGACAGTTTTGACATGGTGAGGCACACAGAAGAAGGCACATGGGATGGTTTTGATCTACAGGTGTCGACGCTGGCCAGTAATAACACGAAAGACAACACTCTGGGAAAGCAGCTTCTTTATTTCTTTGATGGAGAAAAGAAAGAGAAAGATTTATGTGATGGGTAGATGATTGTTTGACAGACACAATCCAGCTTTTTTCAAAATACTGGAGAGATTTGCATGGAAATGAGGCAATGTTAAAGATAATATTCAAAATGGAGAAAATGATAAATAAGGGATGGAGCAAAGTGCTAGAGGCATGGGGTTGCTGGCATTCATGGTGAACATAATTTTCATGAATTTTGGTCATCTTCTGCCTCTCTACTTTCCTTCTGCACCCATTGTAATTCCTTTAGGGAAATGATTGCATTGTAATTAACATTTAGCATTGCACAGGGCTTTATGCAGCGTGTGAAATGCTAGATATGCCATTTGGTAAGGAGGTGGTGGATTTCTGAAGAAACGGGAATGATGAAGCATTAGTATAAGAAATGGTTTAGCTCATTTCACTAGTTAATTATTCTCTGTGTTTATGTCTATTCTCTATGTTATGTTTATACGCTTCTTATAAATGGAAACTTAAATATTCCTCCCCCAGTTGTCACCACCAAAAGCTGTGACCCATTAGACCCAACTTCCACTGCGTATGAAATGTGTAGAAAAAGCCCTAACTCTCAGTCCAAAGCTCTTAGGGAAAAAGTTTCCAGAATTAAGGCCCCTTTACTACAAGATACGGATTTTTCAGGCAAAGTGAGGTTTTGCCACTCAGTTAACACAGGGTAATGCTATTTGCCCTGCTGCCTGTTATGGTGTAATTGCAGCCGTTTTTCAGGCTGTGCCTTCCCATATGATGCTTAACACCCTTGAATAATATTATGAGGGAGAAGCAGACCCTAGCAGACCCAACACACATAAAGCTTTCCAGATGAAAGAAAATGCAGGAAATTGCATCCAAATGCCAAGAGGAGACCACTGAACCTGTGCAGGGCTGTATTTCTGATGGCTAGCACCATTTCTCAGGTGAATGAACAAAGTAATCTAATAACATGGGGTGGCTGTGGTAGGGGATGTTGAGCAGGGAAGATGTTGTGTGTGAACTGTGATTTCAAGTTGCTTAGCATCTGCATCGTCAGACTCAGGCAGCCCTTGGCCCCTCATCCTCGGTGGGGGCAATGTGTAATTTTGTTGTCTATGCTGCTGAGTAACCTTAGCAAACTTCAGCACAGGTCCGTTGCTTCCTCAGGGCTAGAAGCCAAAACCACTGATAACTATGGGCAACAGTAGCCTTAATTTAAGACTGCCTCGGTAAAGCATGGTACTGTGTTTTGCAATACCATTTGGCCAGTCTTGGATTGCATCTGTGTGCAAAAATACAACTAGTCAACTCATCACATTTGCATGGTGGAGAGGCGTTGGAGCTTTACAGTAAATATTTTTCGTTAGCTAAGTGCTCTCATGAAAAAAAAGCTCCCAGTTTCACCATTTAAAAATTAGTGACTGTACAAGTGCAGTTGAAAGCCCTTATTTTTAATAAGGATTTTTGCATAAAGTATGCAAAATGCCTATCTGCCTCCAAAGCAGCTGTTCCACTCTGCTATGCAAAGAGTATCCCCTGTAAAGGGAAGAATAGCAAGTGTGAGTTCCTGCAGTTTTAGTACTGATGATCCTCTTCATTACATAATTGTTTAGTTCTCGTCAAACAAATATCCCATCAATATGAACAGGGATTTTACAGATTTATCATTATTATCATTATCCTCTTTATTTAGAGTTCGCATTACTATAGAGTTAAGAAGGTGTTGGGTCAGGAAAACAGGGGTGAATGTCAGCTGGACCCACGGAGGAGCTGTGCATCTTAAATGACTGCAGCATGGGATATAGGAATGCATGGAGGGCCACCACCTCCTTATGTTGGCAATATGGGACATAAGTCTGGATGCAGGCACTGTATGTAAAGCGTATAGGCCACTGGGATGATGGATTCAAGCTGGCCATGGTGTGCATTCGCCTAGACACAATTATGTCCAATTCCCCCGATTTCAGCAGTCGGATGATGTTGGTGAGAAGTTCAGAGTTGAAGTTCACTGCTGAATCCAGATCTTTGCCCATTAGCTTCTCCTCTGCAAAGTGGGTGTAACACTGCATTGTTGGGGCTTACGGGAGGATAAATATATTGGATTATGTGGCATGGGGTAGTACAGTGATATGGCTGCAAGTGTAATTGGAGGAAAGAGATTTTTTTTTTTTACTTCAGGTACTTTTGGAAGTAAAATGTGAAAGCTGGTATGGTCTGGTGTTGGTATCCCCTCCCTGTAAATGGAGAGTAATTGTATTTAGGGCACTGACTGAACACTGCTGTAAAACTGGTGTCAGCATTGCTGGAATGGGGGAGCGTATTTTAACAGCACAAATTTTACTGGGGCCAAGGTCGCTGTGGGGTGGAGGTGGGAGGCTGAGGCTGCGGGGCAGGACGGGGCAGGCATCAAAAAAATGCTGTAAGATGATGATAAGGGAGGGGACTTAGAAGGATTATTTCTTCCAATAATACACTTCGTTGGATAATGTGGATGGATTTGAAGAAAGCTGTTCATTGTGTCAGCGGCAGCCTATTGCTGCTGCTGCATCTCAGTGAGGCTGTTGAACTTGGGAGACAGACACTGCATGTGCTGCCAGGTGTCACACCGAATAGCACCTGCAAACGTTTTGCAATATAATCAGATGTATTAAGGTGAGGTGGAAGGGAATAACTGCTCTGCTTTTAAAATAATAAATCAGATATTTGGGTACTGGGCTTATATCTAATTATATCTAGTATCTATATATTGGGGTTTGTATCAAATCTCTCATGAATTATATAGCTTTAATAATATTAATCTAATAATCTTACAGGAATACCTAATTCCAAAAATTCATTGAAGAAGTTGCAGCTAGCCTCAGCATGCAAAAATGAATATCTATATTCTTCCAGGATCAAGGAATCATCTTCTTCTTTACAATTACAGTTTACAGGTATATTGTATATGCTTAGATTAATAATACTCTAGCATAGAGTAGACCATAGGGAAGATTAGATCTCTCAATCAAGCCTTCAGTTCTTTTCCTATCTGGACATATTTAGCATACGGCCAGGATAATAAGAGATCTGAAATGCTTTGGGATAATTTAGGTAACTGAGTCTTTTTTTTTTTTTTTTTTGAAAGTTCCTTCTTTTTAAACAGGCATAAAGATTTATGTAACACTGTTGCTAAATCATTCAAAACTTTTATGTGTGTACAAATATAGTAACACACATTTTATATATAAAAATATATAGCACTTAGATCCTTGTATATAATTTAGGGGAGATTTTTCAGCACTGAAGAGTAAAAATAGAAATTAAAATAACAGCTGAACCACCTACCTCACCTTTAGGACTGAGAAAAAATATTCCTGCATCATTGTATCAGTTTGATCTTTATGAATTCTAGTGAAGACTGTTCCAGATTTACAGACACAGGACAATTAAGTAAATGAGCATTGCATGACTGTAGAAGCATAACAGGAAACGTCTGGAGAAATGTGAGGCATTGAAGAGAAGGTGAATAAATGCTGTTTGACCCTACTAGTCATTTCAAGAAATTGGGTAATTTCACCTTCAACCTCTGTAGCATCAGCTCTCCCGTTTCTTGTAAACGGAGAGACTAAATTAAAACTACTGAAGTGTATGTATACCTTTAGAGATTTCTTTTTAGAGATTGTTTAAATCTTCTTACTGTCAAGAGAGGCACAGTATTTTATTTCCTTCAGAACCTTTTGCAAATGATCTTTACTGCCAGTTCCCCTTGCCAAAAATCATTAAAATACAGCAAAAGTGAAATGCCCTTGGTAGTGCTCCTCTGCTTTTGGGTTTTTAAAGGTGAGGGGTGAGGTTCACACTTGGCACTTCAACATTCGCTCATTAAATAGGGATAGTCTGAGAAATCTTCGTTTGCTAATTACAGGCACTAAGGGTCATTCATGAGAGTCTTAAACCTTTACAGGCTGAGAAAGGCAAGAGCAGTATTAGATGCTCGCCAGCTTGCCCACATGTGTGCACATAGCTGCACGTGTGCATCTGTGCATAGGGGATCCAACGGGCTCTGGAGGTTGTTGGGGACGTCTGCCAACTAAGGAGCTGATCCAGCTCACCTCTCTGTTCTGCCCCATCTCTGTTGTATTTGCAGCTAATGCAGTTACCCCAGCCTAAAGTTGGGTGGGGAAGAGCAAAAGCAGGTAACTTGTATTTTTAAGGCGGACTAACCTCTTCTCAGTAGACCCTCCCAAGCAGACGACTCTTGCCCTGTAGAGGAGTGTCACAACAGGCATAACAAATGCAATGTGAATGATTTTATTTATATATTTATTATTTCCTTATCAGCACAAACTTGTTTTGTTGCATACCAAGACCTGCAAAACAATAAATATCAGCTTTTTTTAAATGACCCCCTTTTCTAGGTATCATATAGAGAGCAGGGATGGGGAGCTGATTTACAGAGAGAGGTGGATTTTCCATGCCAATTTATGAAAAATGTACTGTCCCCCAAAAAACAAGAAACCGATCCCAGCAGCTACCGGTATTGGCGTAGGGAAGCACCACAAGCGAGGAGAGTCTTTGCGGTACAGCTTCAAAGCTGTGAAGATCTAAGTAGGTTCCTTTTAAATGTTTGCCAAAGGATCCCCATGCAGTAGCCTGTAAGAAAAGTGGAATTTTTGGACGAACTCAACTATGTGTCTTACCATTTCCAATAGGAGGCAAAGGCAGGCTTTGATTTCCAACAGAGGGATAATGCTAGTTTTGTCTATGCAGACTCTACAGTGTGTAGGTTCATGAATTCTGGCTTAGTGAGGTACTGCTGGGTAATGCTTCCAGGAAGTCTGCAGGCTTGATCCAATGATTTGTTGTATCCTTAATTTCTTGAACAAACATACTCTTTTTAAGTACAACTTTCCAGGACCCTATAGTAAGAGACACAGAACTAGAATTTCTCTGGATGTATGTTTTCTACAAATTGTCTCTGCCAAAGAGTAATTTTTTTTGCAGAGGAGGCAGTATGTGCCAGTTGCTTCAGACAAACTTTTTACCATGGCATTCTTAGCTGTTTCCAACCTGGTAGGTGTCAGAGTTGAATCTCTTTTTTCTCAACTCACAGGGCACTGTGTCACATTTTCAATCAGCCTGTGTCTTCTATGTAGGTTTGCATGGCCAGTTGGGTTGTATGCATTGTAACTGCATGTACAGTCTAGCTGTAGTTACAGGCTTGCATAAATTTTATTCATGCAGAAAGGCAAGGTTGCGGGGACAGTTATGACTTCTCTTTACATTTATAGTCACAGTCATTTTCAGATGCATCTGACATCAGAGGGCAAGACGAGAGATATTCTGCACTCACATATCTGATGAGCTGAGTTCATGATAAATCAGCAACTGTTCTTCGGAAGGATGAGGGATGTTGCACTTAAAAGAAGTGACACTTCATCATGTTTGTCCTACTACAAAAGTCCAAAAGAGTGGTGAAAGCTGAAAAAAAAAAAGAAAAAAGTTGGGTGGCATTCATCCATCTACACTTTTTATAATCCACATACTCTTACTGTTGATATAGAATCATAGAATCATTTAGGATGGAAAAAACCTTTAAGATCAAGTCCAACCGTAAACCTAGCACTGCCAAGTCCACCACTAAACCATGTCCCTAAGCACCATGTATACACGTTTTTTAAATACCTCCAGGGATGGTGACTCAACCGCTTCCCTGCACAGCCTGTTCCAATGCTTGATAACCCTTTCGGTGAAGAAATAGATATCTGAATGGGTACAGAGGTAGAGAAAACCTTTCAGTAGCTAGCAGATATGATACAACAATCAGTAAAGCAAGGAAAAATCTACCCGTGCAAAGAGCTTTATTTCTGGACATCAGATAGAGTATTAATCTGCTGTGTTTTCTAAAACTGAAACCTCCTGTTCATCTTTCCTACACATTATGTGACCTTGTTTGACATGATCTTGTGTGTTGAGATGAAAAATCCCAAGACATTGATGAAACAATGAACATTGTATTTCTGATGAACTTCAGCATCTAATTTTTACATGGACATAATAGAAAGCACGGTGAGAAATGGAAGTGAGAAATTTTCTATTAGACAGGTTTTTGGAAAGCACCATGTTTCTTTAAAAATGCCACCTCTCAGATAGGGGTGATAAACAACACTAAATGAGTATGAAACAAAGTGAGTTTTCTGGAATGAGGTAGAAATGTGTTGTGTAGAGGGAAGATGTTATGCACTGAGAGATGGAAGGCATTTTTCCTTTCACAGTGGGTTATTTCTTGCCATTTGGAGGCTCCAGTTGTTTTTCAAAAAAGCAATATGGAAATGCATAGCTGCATTCTGCTATAAAGTACCTCCAATCGAAGATTATTAAAAATGACAGGCACATTTCTGTGTATTTGATAATGTCAAGAGCAGAAGTGAAGTGCCGCACATTGGTGTTATGAGATATCAGAATAATTCTCTTTTCTGCAAAATCTGTAATGCCTAATGGAAGAATGTCATTTTGGGCTTGCTTGCAAGGGTAATTACATTGTGACTCAATAAGACACCTTAAACTTGCTTGATTTTAAAAGCGTCTTTCAATCCACCGCTATTCAAGACAGGAGTAACAAAGGTGTGCATTTAAGTTTTTGCTTAAATGCTTTGCTGAATTTAGGCTTCAGAAATTAACCATTGTCCATCAAATAGTGTTCGTGGCATCACACTTGTAATAGTAGACTGAGGTTGATGCCTTTTCAGTTGGAAAGGCTTACTTAAAACATGTGATTTTCTCGAATATGGCATATCATTCTTTGGTGCTGCACAACTCAGTTGGCTGAGCTTGACAGTAACGGTGGCACGTTTGGAAAGGGGAGAATGAAACCAGAAGAGAAGGTAACTCCAGGAGTGGGTTTGAGGTAGTGCTTCCTACTCTACCGTGTCCTCTTCCTGCCCTACTGATATGTCCTCAGCAATGAGGTAACTTGGGACTTTCTATTGTTCGCTAATCCAATTTTTCTCTCTTTGGAACTGACATCTAGAGTTGACATGACATACCCAAGTCATCTGCTGGGGCTGGCTGTGAAATCGGACTGTGAAATGCCACTCTGAATCTTTCTTGTGCCCACCTTGGACATTGACACAGGACCCAATTTGTATAGATATCTCCTTGCCAGGCTTCCCAGGTTCCTTTCTTCTCCATTTCGTTTCTTCTTTGGGACTGAGGCCATTGTCTACTCATAGCACCTGCTAGCTGAGCCGACCTTACAGGAGATCCACATGATTCTTTGTGCCTTCAAGGTTTACTGGCAGGCTGAAGCTACATTTGAAAATTAGTTTGGATTAGTATAGGGTATAGAGTTAAAATGCACTGGCTGTTTTAAATAAATCCATGTGTGGACATTATCTGTATGACTGATTTTGTAAATTAATGCAGACTGAGTGGCTGTATGAGCTGTATGGGTAAATTCAATAAATAACTCTGTGCACGTGTGTGTGTGAGAGTGTGTGCATAAATAGAAATTTTCAGTTTACACCTACGCACTTTGCAGTAATTTGTAACCATACATAAAATTCTTTGAAGTTATCCTTGAATTATGAGTAGCATTTACTGGATCATACATATTTATTTTTAATTACCTTTGGTTTTTTTCAGCTCTTCTTTATGCAACTATTTTTGGAAACGTCACCACCATTTTCCAGCAAATGTATGCCAACACCAACCGATACCATGAGATGCTGAACAATGTGAGGGATTTCCTAAAATTATATCAAGTCCCAAAAGGCCTTAGTGAAAGAGTCATGGATTATATTGTCTCAACCTGGTCCATGTCTAAAGGAATTGACACAGAGAAGGTATGAGTACGTGAGGTAACAATTTAGATAGCAAGAATTTGTGTCCATTCTGTACTTTCGTAGAAACAGGACTGTATAACAGCATATAACTTACTAACAAATTCTTAACTGCATGCTATTCCATTATTATGTTTGTGTTTGGATCAAAACCTGGATGTTTTAAAAAAGGACTGTTTTGTTGCTTTGGAAATATGCCTTTATTTTTCATTATGGTAAATGTTTTCTGCTTTCCAGTCTTACTTTGTCTAAATACTAAATAATTTTAATGTACTTAACTATTGAAATCAACGGGAAATTGGTCTTCAAATTAGTCCAAGAACATAATCAGGTGTCTAACCTACATAAGTATTATTCTGAAAAGTATTGGCATCTGTGAGTTGCAATGAAATGAGTTTGATTGTCTTGGACCTTTTGCTGATGCCCAGGACATCGACATGTCCATCAGCATAATTAGTGTAGGATTTAATGGCAGTAGAGATTGATCTCCTTGAGCTAAAATCTCTCGGCTAGAACTTAAGGCCTTTGGTAGGGAGATACAGAAAATGTGGCACTGCTGGCAGCCATGTGGGGTAGAAGTTGTACAGGACTTTAGCCCTCAGAAAGGTTTCTTCAAAAGCTGATTAAAGGAGAAGGTCGTCTTCGGAGAGTGATTCATTGTGTGCCAGGACAGACCAAGTGAATTGTCCTCAGGGCCTCTCTTTCTCTGTGATATGTGCAGTGAGTCTGTCTAGCCTTGGATATTTTAGAGAGCTGAAGTCAGATGGAAGGGTTTCCACCTGCAATACCTTGAATGTAGGCAAGATATAATAGTTTTAGGTCTAGATTTTTGGTCAGTGGAGATCGGTGATGCTCCTGTGGCTTCTGTGGACCTGATGCACACCAGCTGAAATTAGGTATTCAAGCTCCAGTTTCCATGAAGATTTCCCTCCTGAGAACTTAAAAGGCAAGTGTCTGAGGGAGGGTAAGGAAGCATCATGGCAGATTAAAATGTCTAGTTCTTGCAGAGCTTCAGCTGAATCTACTGCGTAATATGGAATGATGATGCAGCTTGTTCAGATATGCCAAGATGAAGTCGCTACACTGAAAAATTTAGTCTTACATCATGCTGATGCAACAGCAGTTATCTTATTAATCATCTGCTGTGAAATTTGTTTTACCATCACAAATACAACTGTTTTAAGTAACAAGGATTTTGATTTCTTTGATTCTTGTGCCTCAGTATGTCACATTCTTTAATATGTTAACTTCTTATACACTAATACCCTAACTTCCCAATGCTGATTCATACGGTGTTAAAAGTGAGCTTTTATATTGTAAACTACTGTAAATGCATTCAGGCCTATTGTGTAAACTCAAAACCATGTGAAAATTCAACTTTCGTTTGCATTTATCTCCTTGCAGTTAAGCCAGAATGCTGTATTATTCCACTACGGTTTCATTACATTTTAATGATGCTTTGCAGTTAATTAGGAGAACCTGTGCTTTAATTACTGAAATTTCCTTCCATAGTTTCTGCATGTCCGGTTTTATAGATTATAAAAATGCAGTTAGAGCCATAATTTTCGACTCATGGTAAGCAGTGTTCTCTGGTCTGTAAGACAGTAGTGGCTGCTTAGCTAGATAATTAATATGGCTGTAAAATCTGTGACTTAGGTTTTTAACAATTTTCCCTTGGTAAAGACTTGCCTAAACTTAGGCCTGGATCCAAAACCTATTTAAAACAGTGGAAGGATTTCAGAAACCTCTGCATCTGGACATCAGTAGTTGCATCTAATCGAACTTCCCAGAAAAGCACATGTTACAGAAGAACAGAGACAAGATAAACGTAAGAACTTGAGCACCGGTTTGAATATTTTGGTGTTTTGTATCCCTTACAGCCTGCAAGTCTGCAAAAGCAACAGCACCAGAGGCCTGTAGTGCCCGCACTGAGCATCCCTGGGTCTGTACGGGTATAAGGATCAGGCAGTTTGCTTTCAGCTGCAGGACCTTAGCCAAAGTCAGGATTTGTTTTAGTAAAAGGGTGGAAAGCTGTGTTGTAGCCAGGCAGCCTTCCTACCTTTATCTCCACTCAGGAAGGTGTTATGATGTGCTTCACCAAAACAAATGAGAGAATGTTGTAAATCCCAGCTGAGAAATGATAGAAACAGTGGTACAGTCCCAGAGACTAGTCATGTAGAGTGGATTGTTTCTCTTGCATTCCTTCATTACCCCTTCAAGCCCTATCGTAAGACCCTCTGCATTTAAATTAAATCCATCTGTACTAACCCTAGAGCAGCAAGTGGATGGGAGCGCACTGTAGGAACCTCCAAGGTACACAGAGTCAAGTCAGATTTATTACTGTAGACACAGTGGGGCTAATGGGACTACATTGCACCTGTAGCTGACCTGCTAAATCCAGATAGTGCTCCAGCGTAGGTTGGAATAGGGGATTACTGCCCCAGGTCTTGAGTTGCTTCTCTGCACTGCTTTGTCTGACAGCCTGGATGTGACCTTAGGGGTTTCTTCCAGTCTAGTTTTCAAAGCTCCAATAATGAGATTCTGACCAGTCTGTTGTCTGGATATCTTTGCATCACATGATTTCCCATTCTCCTTAATTATTATGAACTTTTCAATAAGCTTCTTATTATCTTGTAAAATACCAGTGCTCATGACACATGATAATTAGTGAGGAATTTCTCAACTTTTCAGTTTCTATCAGACAGCTCAGACAGTTTCCATCATTCAAGGATGTTTTTCAACCTAACATACAGTATTACATCCTAAACTGTTCCAAATATATCTGCATTGTCACACTGGAATGTGTTTTGCAACATCATTTGCCACAAATTCATAATACATTTCATTCAGTCACTCAGCATGTTGAAATGGCTTTGCTTTGAAATCCAAATTCAAAAAACAAGAAGGTTAATGTACTAACAAAGGATGAAATTTCTTATATGAGTGTTACAGTAGGTTCCTATGGTGATTAACAATCCTAGCGATTTGATGGAGTAAAAATAAACACATGTGCATGTGTTTCTTTGATAAATAAAGATTTTAAATTCATATGCTTGAAGTTAATAACTTGATTGGAATTACTACCACTACACATATTACTACCACTTAATATGTGTAGATTTGTTGCATCAGAGCTCAAATATCTATTCTTGAATGACATACTCAGTGTGTAGTCCCAAAGAAGATATTGGGTAAAACTAGTAAGGATGAGATGGGAACTGAAGGCAAAGTGGAAGTTAGCATGGAGGAAGTTTAATGAAGGTCTAGTCCTTGCTGCTTGTGAGAGCAAGCTGTCCCGAACAGAATTTTGTTTTAAAGCCCCAGTCTGTTGTTCTTGTATGTGGAGGAGGATTTTTTCTCCCACACTGAAGTGCCGATGCCTTAAGCATACAATTTTGGCTTCCCTGTTCTCCGTGGGAATAGCTCATCTTCAAATCCTGTCTTCAAACCACAGCGCTTCAGCCTGTCTCTGAGTGTTCACAAATAAGGAATTAAAAATGACACTAAAAGCATTAGTGTATTTATTATTATTACTTAAAGGGAAGCAAGTGGCCTCTGATCCATAATCTTAAATCACTTAAACATGTGAGCCCTCCTTTGACAGCTGGGATGATATATGTAACACATGCACATGGACTCTTGTCTTCTGGTGTAACAGTGGCTCAAACGAGATGGAATTTTTTTTTACGTTTAATGCTACAGGTTTCGGGGTTATTCAACTAATAATGAGCAGGACTAAAAACATGAAAAAACTAAGAAGCCTTTATATACTAAACAGTATCTCTCATCCAGCAGAACCTGTTTTTTTGAGAGAGGTAAAAAAGAGGCAGTACGTTCTCTGTATATGACCATTTTTAAGCAGCTGAAAAAATCTTTACAGTAATAAGTTGATATATGAAACACACACTGAATTCAAATCTCTTAGTTTTTATTGAAATCTCTAGGCAGCAAATGAAAAATTTATAGATATTAGCTCTTCTATAAGAAATAGGTCATTATACATGAAAGCAGAACAACCATTAACTAACATGCAGATGTCTCAAGGTTTCATCTAATGATAACGTTCTGAAATGTCAGTAAAACCCAAAGATTTTCTCTTCTTGACCTCTATGCTGTTGTATGGCTTAGGATTTGCTCAGAAAGCAATTAAATAAATGTCTATCATGTTTTAACAGTCGATTCCTTCAGAAAAGCCATAGGTTGAAAGAGAAAAAAGGTGTCTATTTAGTCTCAACCTGAGCATCAATAGTGATTTGAATAATGAGAGCCAATTCCACATTGCAATGACTGAAATGGAAATCATGGGAAAATAACACAGTATTAAAACTATTCACTGCTGGCCCACTAAGCTTTCATACAGGAGAGATGGGTTTATGGTAAATAGACACAGGTTGTAACTTTATTAAACATTAATCTACAGAAGGACAGTGCAGTTTAGTCGTGTTTGCTGTTAATAAGATCTTCAAGAGCTTTAGTAATAATTAGTGATACCCTGAGACGAATAGGGGAATCAGGCTGCCATTCCCATGGTGTCCCATCACATAGAGGTGTCTGTAAGTGCTGGCTGGATTTCCTCGTGGATGACCGGGGTAGAAGGCTTCCAAGCTTCGTGGCCAAAGAGAACTTCTACAAAATTAGGTGTGACAGCTACATACAATTCCCTGCTGAAGAGGGAAGGTAAAAATCGTTTGGACAAGTATTTTTGTTTCGTTGTAGAGGCGAGGTTGTTGGTCGTTCCTTGCAGATCGGGACGAGGTGAACAAGAAGTCTTCCCTCACCTCACAGAGCTGAGCTAGGACCAGGTACAGTTGCAATCCACGGTTCTTTGGAGAGCGGGATGCAGGAGAGACGGTCAGGGTCTCACTGTACTTCACACGGGTCCAAGAGCGGGGCCTGTGCACCAGTGGGGCTTTCTGTTTCACCTTTATGGATGGTATGGATTATTTACCTCCTGTATGCACTGTGCAGAGCCAGGAAAGATTATCCACAATTATCTGTGCCTC